CTAGAGCCTCGCGACTTTCTTATTATGTCCCACCAAGAACCGACAATCCATTCCCCTTCATCATTTTTTAATTTTGGTTTAAAATAACCTAATTTTGAGTATGGGTTCATATCCCAGCCATGCCAGGTCTTTGTGAGCTACTTTAGTGGTAGCAGTAATAAGGCCGTCGATCATCATGAATGAACAGTTACATGAGGACACAAAGACAGTCTTAAGGATACCAGCAGATGCATACAGAAATGGACTAGTAGAATCGCAGAGCATATAATACCTCTCTCAATTAGTTTAACAGCACCATTTGTTTCTGAACGAACCGCGTTTAAATCAGCACCACTTCTCTACCATTTGTTTCTGTACGACCGCTAGTTTAAAATCAGCAAACCACTTCTCTACCATTTGTCTCGACGGACACTTATAAAACTTATCAAGCCATTGCTTTGCTTGAACGGTATTTTTTCGCATCGAAATACAATGATGAATCAACACACGAAATTCATATTTTTCAATTGTTTTGAAAATTACAAAAATTGTTAACGAAAATGATTCCGCATCTTTTTATGCAAGTTGGCAATTATTCATATTAAGTGTTTGTCAGACATTGTCATGATATAATTTGATGGAAACAAAAGTAATCCAATAAAATGGATTACTCGAAATAAAAAAATGTGGATATTATCTTGACAATAGCACAGATCCAACCAGATACGAATTAATTTAAGAAGCTTTAAAATGTATTTATATTTTAATGTCGATAAATTTTCTCAAGAAAGAGGAAATAACTTATATTAATGTAGAATGTTTCCATTTTATTCGTGTGATAATGAAATTATACATAAATTATGTACATTTACTGAATAATATACCAATTTTGCCAATAATAAACTATATTAGTAAAGTTAGACTAATAGAGATTGACGATAGATGTGTAGAGGTTATATTAGTTGAGTTATGTTATATCGATAGAAGTTACGACGAATATTGGTTAGTTTAGGTTCGAGTTCGACAAATCACGGCTCGTGGGCTCTGCCACAAATGACATCGCTTGATTCACTTTCAAAGTCTGCTGAAACGTCGCCAAAAAAATAATTCTGATATCGACAATTGTTATTTCAAAGAATTTTAAATTTGAGAGAAGCTTTTCTAATCTGGTTTTAGGAATTCAGAAATAGCAAAACGACTTTGCGAAAAAAAAACTATAAATGTTATTGTAACTTAATATAAACATATTTTTTTCTCCGTTTAATGTTGACATTGGTAACTTTGAAATGCAATTGCTGGATTTAAATACAAAGAAATATGTAGCTCTAAATTCAAACAAGAACAAATGTGAACTTAATTCACAGCACAAGTGGTCTGATTTCAAAGACCTGAAGAAGAAAGACTTGATGATTTTTAACACCTAGGATAGTATTTCCGACTCATATGTTCAGTTGCAGAAACTAGCTGTTCTTTCCCTTTTCGGTTCTACATATTCACGCGAACAATATTTTTCAAGCATAAACCTTTTCCAGGTTTTGGAGCTAAGTTCACATTTGGCAATGTTTCATCAGGCTTGGAAATTGAATGAAACGTGCTCATTTGTGGCAGATCCGCTCTCAAGAGCCCAAATAGACGCATGCGGCTTAATTGATCAATTTATTTTCGAAACTTTCACAATTCCTATTTATTAACATATGACATATATCCCTTAAAAACGTATAACATTATTGTTAGGAATATGCATATGATGGACCACTCATATGCCGGTCAATCAACAGAGGGCGCTGCATGGACGGGCACTACCAACTGCAGGACTTACATTACCAACTGAAATACCGAAACCGATGAGGAGACTTATGCTGATTCCAAATAAAAATTAAATTAAATTATGTAAAAGATAATTCAATATTATATTTCTTGTTTAGCTGCAATAATTTGAAGAAGGAAGGTGTAATTTCAATTAGATTTAGAGTAAATATACGTAGAAATATTGTTTTTCAAGGTATAATCATAATAGTTCGGATTTATTCGTTAGAATTATTCGCAAACTTCGGGTAAAACACATTCGCCCTTGGAGTTTCTCAAATAACCATTTTTGCAAACACAAGTTCGTCTGCAAACTGTAGGACAATATTTGGGCGGAGTGTATGGTTCGATAATTTTGCCACAAATAATGAGGGGAGGTGCACATCCGCTTCCGCATTCAATGAAATATTCGTTAGGTCCGCACGCATGTCCTAGTTCTGAAAAAAAATAAAATGTAAGAGTTGGAAGCAAACAGCACTTTAAAAAAAATACTTAGTTTTGAAAATTCATATAACCTCAACGGTATAAGAATGGTGGCTAACGAAAATTATTCCGTTTCTTTTAAGAACACTTAAATAATATATGCACATTTTATCCTAATGCTATCACAAATTGAAGAAACAATACATAATCGTTCAATAACAACTAACATAACCTCACTAAAACATTGAAACATTTGTGAATTTCATTGTTAAAAAATGTATATTTTTTATGTGAATTTTTTAAGGTATAATTAAAACAATATATTACAAAAATAAAAAATAAATGAAAAATGTTTAATATTATGTATTACCAAAAGATGTTGAAGTGGCCACCATCAGGAGGGAGCAAGCGAAAACGACGAGAAGTTTCATTTTGTTTGTAACTCGAAGAAATTTGAATTCGATATAGACTTGAAACGTTCCCGTCTTTATTTATAGTAGACAAATTTTGGCTGAAAAAAAGTCTTGCGATAAGATTCATTGTTCTTTTTGATGCATGTCAGCAATAAAATGGATTACTCGAAATAAAAAATGTGGACATTATCTTGGGGAAATGGCTGTGAAAAAAGTACAAAAAAAAGACAATAGAGTAAAGCCAGAATTGTGGAACCTTTAAAATGCATTTAAATTTAAATGTCGAAAACATATTTATGTTCAATATTTTCATTTCATTCATATGATATCACATGATTTCATTAATTTTGTTCTCTTTTGAAAAAAAAAATATATTTAATATTATATATAAACTTAAATTAGTAAAGTTTAATTATATTCAGTTTAATTTATCCAAAGATTTTTTAATTTCAAAAATAAACTCTTAAATAAAGCAATTTATTTTCGAACCCTAGAAAATTCCTATTTATCAATGTATAGACCGTTAGATTAGTTTGCTTTAAGTTAGATTAAATTTAGTTTAGTTGTGTATAACTAAACTCATTAAAAGTTTATATATGTGTTTTGTCTAATAATCAAAAAATCATTTTTTAATTGTTCTTACTCCAATTATGATAATAATAATTAATACAAAAAAATAAATCCAAAATAAATATAAATGATAGTATGAACAAAATAATATAAATTAATAAAAATAATTAATAATTTGGCCAAAGGGCTATCTACCTAGGTGTTTCCGCCCATTCTGCAATTAAATTAATAGAAATACTTATATATTCCATTATTATTTTCATTGAGAACTATTGCTTATTCATTAATAAAAAAAAATAAAACATTTAATATAGACAATTAAATATTGTTATTTTTTTATTATTTTACCCTGAGGAGTGGATGAGTCTATTTTGGAATTTCCCCCTTAACAATAAAATTTCACCAGTGTGGGAAAGCCTTAGTCTAGAGTCTCGCGACTTTCTTAATATGTCCCACCAAGAACCGACAATCCATTCCACCTTTATCATTTTTTAATTTTGGTTTAAAATAACCGGATGGTTAGAGTCGCAACTCTCACATATTATGAGTATGGGTTCATATCCCAGCCATGCCACGTCTTTGTGAGCTACTTTAGTGGTAGCAGTAATAAGGCCGTCGATCATCATGAATGAACAGTCACGTGAGTGAGATTCACCATATAGACATGGGTGGATGTCAAAGGACACAAAGGCAGTCTTAAGGATACCAGCAGATGCATAGAGAAAAGGACTAGTAGAATCGCAGCCCATATAATACCTCACTCAATTAGTTTAACAGCACCATTTGTTTCTGTACGACCGCGTTTAAAATCAGCAAACCACTTCTCTACCATTTGTCTCGACCGACACATATAAAACTTATCAACACAAGAAATTCATATCTTTCAATTGTTTTGAAAATTACAAAAGTAGCGTCACTAAAACCACATTAACTTGTGAACTAAACGTTAAATTGCCATGAAAGGGCGTTATTTGAAGGTCATCGTGTGAAGGTTGGTACTTCCTAAAAATCATATGGATTTTTCGATAGAGGCGCCATCTACATGACATCCTACGAACTAATTGAGTGATGTGTTACTACATGACAGCCCATAATTTTTGCAGGATGAAAAAAATGGTAAAACCTTTTTTGAGAAAAGTTTATGAAAAACCATATAAATCTAGAAAAGAAAATTTAAAACTTTTTATATAATAACAGTAAAGTGCACATGTTTAAAAACAAAACATTATACGTAGAAGTCATACTTATTGTCGACCAATTGTCAGTTTAAAATAATAGTTTATTTATACGACTGTCAAATGACAATTAACATAACTCTTCTTCTAATTGTAACGCTTCTTTGATGACATTTATGCTTGAAGTCAGCAAGAATTACACTATTTCTATAGTTAACAAAAATAATTTTATTATTTATTAAATTTAAAAAATTATAATACAAAATTCACTAATTTCAAGGTAAATTACAATATGTTTCAATAATTTTTATTTCGTATTTTTCTTTACATTACTATAAAATGACAACATAATAGCCGCAATAAAACAGACAACAATTTTAGAAACAATTATTTTTTAAAGGTACTATTCAAATAAATTGCAATTTATTCATAATTTATTCAGGACAATTATTGACAATGTTCCGGCTTGACGCATTGCTGCTCGGTGTTTCTCTGATAGCCGGGTTTGCAAAGACAGACCGCTCTGCAGTATGCAGGACAAATCTTAAAATCTTCCGGGTCTTCAATGTATTTTCCACAAACACTGAGCGGATATCCGCATCCGCTTCCACAGAATTCGTAGTACTCATTGAGTCCACACTCAAACCCTGCAAGAAACAGGTGTGTCTGCATTTAATTAATTAAAAAAAATATGTTAATTCTTACGTGGACATTCGTAATCTCTGATACAATTTCCTTCTTTGTCAAGCAAGAATCCTTCGTCACAGGCGCATCCGTCTCTGCGACACTCCTGGGTGCAGAGAATACCCAAATCCTTGTTGGCGCAGGACAAAGGACAGTTCGAGATACACGGGGTGTAGTGCGAGTTAGGTCCACATTCTTCGAAATAAATATAAATTATTTAGTTTACATTAATATTTTTTTATAACATAAAATGCAATCCAAGCTTGAGTTTAAAAACTGAAGAAACAATTGTCATTTTCTTTATTAAAAATGTATACTTTCTAATTTGCACATATTTCCCAAAATATAATACAAAATGAAAATATGAGAAATTTTAAATGTTAAATAATATATATTACTATGAGATGTTGAAGTGGCCACCATCAACAGGAAGCAAGCGAAGACGACGAGAACTTTCATTTTGTTTGAGCTGGATGAAATTTGAACTCGATATAGAATTGAAACGTTCCCGTCTTCATTTATAGTTAACAAATTTTGGCTGAAAAAAAACGTCTCGCGATAAGATTCATTGTTCTTTGAAGCTTGAAACAAAAGGCGGCAATAAAACGGATACACAAAATAAATAATGCGGACATTATCTTGAGGAGACTGCGATAAAAGTATAAAAAAAGACAATAGCACAAAGCCTACCAGATACATATGAATTGCGGAAGCTTTAAAGTATATTTACATTTTAATTGCGAAAATTCTCTTGGAAAAAAAGAGTAAAAAACGTTCATATTTATGTTCAATGTTTCCATTTTATTCGTATGATAATCAATAGATTCCAAAAATTTTGTTCTTTTGAAAAAAAAAAATAGAGATCCAATGATAAAAAATGTTAATTTAGTTAAATTAAGTTAATAGTTGGTTGGGTTAGGGGTTAGATTAGAAGGGTAGAAGTTAGATTATGTGAATATAGGTTATGTCAAATATTACTTAGTTTAGATCAGTGGTTCTTAACCTTTTGGTAGTCACGGCCCTCTTAAAATCCTAAAATATATTCGCAGCTGCCCTAAAATTGTAAAACATTTTTTCGACCCATTATTTTAAAATGATTAAAGTGATTTTATATAAACAATAACTAACATTTAATATAATCGGTAATATTTATTTTATAATTACGATGTGCTAAATTAATGAGGCTTCTGTAATTCAATTATAACTTCTGTAATATCAAATTTTGATTTAATTTTATTTAGCACATTCGATTCTCACTATTGTTTTCAATTATAAAATTGAAAATACATAGAAATAAAAAAAATAGTCACTAGTTCAACACATGCACTTTGAAATGTTTCTTCAGTCATGTTTACAGTAATATCGTTTTTTAGTCACTTTCATTTGAGTTTGTTCTAATGTTAGATGCGCAAGACTTGTGTTTACATGCATACATACATGAAAGAAAGCTATTATGAATTAATTTAATGAAAAAAAAAATGAACTGAAATTAACCATAAATAAAATTTCGTTCCGGTTTCAGTTATTCAATTCAGCAATTTTTCGTTCCGGTTACAGTTACGGTTCAGTTAAAAATTCCAGGTAATTTCGTTTACAGTTTTCGGTTCCCGGGACTCTGCTAGGAATATACGAAAACAATATTAGAAGATTTTCATTCAATGACAGTCAAGTGCACATTATTAAAAATAAAACATGAATAGTTTATTTTTTTTTTATAAATTTAGCAGAATAGTTTCCCATTGGAAATATTCAAAATAATATAATATAAATATTAATTTTAACAATAAAAACGTTTTTCTAATTTTTAAATCTCAAGGATGTTATATAGAAAAATGTAATATAAAATTCAATAATTGTATCGTAAATTAGAATGTGTTTACGTAATTTCCACAAAAACTTAAATATATATTTTCTTTTCATATTGTTAAATGACAACATAAATAATTACAATTAAACAGACAACAAAGGTACACATCATATGAATGAAGTTATTGCAATTAATTCATAATTTATTCAGGACAATTATTGACAATGTTGAGGTTTAACACACTTCTGCTGGGTGTTTCTTAAATAACCGGATTTGCAAAGGCAGACCGATCTGCAGTACGCAGGACAAATCCTAAAATCTTCCGGGTCTTCAATGTATTTTCCACAAACACTGAGCGGATATCCGCATCCGCTTCCGCATAATTCGTAATACTCATTGGGTCCGCACGCTGCAAGAAAAGGGCGTATTTTCAAACTTTAAATAATTGAATAATAAAAATATTTCTTACGTGGACATTTGTAATTTATGATACAATTTCCTTCTTTGTCGAGCAAGAATCCTTCGTCACATGCGCATCCGTCTCTGCGACACTCTTGACTGCAGACGATTCCCAAATCCTTGTTGTCGCAGGTCAAAGGACAGTTCGAGATGCATGGAGTGTAATGAGAGTTTGGACCACAATCTTCAACAAAAAAAAAAACATAAAATAACATTAATATTTTTTATAAGATTTCAAACCAAGTTAAAACATTGTAAAACTGCAATTAATTGATTGGTTAACTAAAATTGTCATATGACTTTCAATTAAAATGGCGACAAATTAACACAGTAACACATTTTTTATGATATCTGTTCTTGAAGTCAACTAGAAATACTCCATTATTTTGATTATGTAATAGTTTTCAATTTGATATATTCGTAAATCTTTAGCAACTGAAATCATCTGAACGAGGAATGTGGAATTTCATTTTTTTTTCTGCGCAAATAATATACTAGTGGTAATTTTCACTGAAACTCTAAATTTTACATAGCATTATTTTTATTTAAAGGTATAATTAATATAATTCGGATTTTTTCGGCATGATTATTCGCAAACTTCGAGTAAGACGCATTCAAATAATAATGCTTCTTTGATGACACCAATTTTTCAATACTTCTCTGTGAAATGGTTGTGATTTTGACTAAAAATACATACTCTTTATTTGAATTTATTAATTATATTCCCCGAAACATGAAAAATGTTAAATAATATGTACTACCAAGAGATTTTGAAGTGTACACCATCAGGTGGAAGCAAGCGAAAACGACGAGAAGTTTCATTTTGTAACTCGAAGAAATTTGAACGTGATATAAAATTGAAACGTTCCCGCTTCCATTTATAGTAAATAATTTCTTGCGATAAGATTTAGTGTTCTTTGAGGCTTGAAACTAAAGTCGCCAATGAAACGATAATCCGTCGAAATTAATAAGGCGGCCATTATCTTGGGGAAGCGGCTATAATATAAGTACAAAAATAAACAATAGCACAAAGACTTTAAAATGCATTTACATTTTAATGTTGAAAATTTTCCCCACGAAATGGACAAACTTACATATTTGGATAATATTAATGATATTTTTTTATATTAAGTTATTTTAGTAGTTGGTTGGTAGAGTTTTGCGAGACTTAAGTTGAAGTTAGCTGATTTATACGCATACGTTAGATTATATAAATAGAGGTTATGTCAAATATTGGTTAGTCTAGATCAGTATCTGACCAAACTGTGTGCCGCGACAGATTCCAAGTATGCAGCAAAAGATTTATAAATAATTTTCTTTGATTTAATTTTCCTAACATTTTTATTTGGTGTGCCGCGAAACAAATTATCCTCACTCAATGCGTCATGTGGTAAAAAGTTTGGCAGACACTGGTTTAGATGAATAGAGACTAGGTTAAGTTAGGTTGGGCGAAATAACCTAACTTAACTATTAATTTTAACATCATTTAATTTATTCAAAAAAATTAATATTATTTTAAACTAAATTATTAATTTTATTATTAGCTTAATAGCTTTAGTCTTCAGCTCCTTTTTTTATAAATTCGTTACTCTTGAAATAGCTTCTACACATAAAATACAACAGAACTTCAATAATACAGAACTGACAGAAAATAAAAATGGTAACGCTTTATTTATGACATTTATTTTTTAAATAAACAAGAACACATTTAATTATTAAAAAAATATGTTTATTAATAAACTTATGAAATCATAGGTTTTGGTATTGTTTTATATTGTTTATAATAATAATCAATCTAATTCGGATTTCTTCGGCATTATTATTCGCAAACTTCGGGTAAGACGCATTCGCCTTTGGAATTTTTCCAAAAACCACTATTGCAATAACAACGTGGTACGCAAACATCAGGACATATCCTGGGCTCAGTTGATGGTTCTACTTCTTCTCCGGTAGATTTGCCACAAATGACGGGTGGATAATAGCAACCGCTTCCACAAGAAATGAAGATTGCATTAGGTCCGCACACACGTTCAGTTTCTGAAATACACGCATTCATAAATATAATCTGTAAAGAGCTGTTTAAGCTCTTTTTTACCTAAACAATCGTCTTTCGTTACGCAATTCCCATCTACATCGAGTACATATCCATTGTCGCAAGCACATCCATCGCTGAGACATTCTTCGTCGCAGAAGTTATGCGCGTATAAACTGAAGCAGGTCATAGGACAATTCGAGACGCACGGAGTGTAATGCGAATTAGGTCCACATTCTTTGAAAGAAATATAAATAATTTAGTTGTCATTAATATTTTTTATAATAAATCAAATGCAATCAATGTAAAGTTACAGTCAATTGATTCGATATGTTTATGTGTCTTTTGCAGATGAAATAGTGTGAAAAAAGAGTAATTTCAATTTGATGCAATGTAAATAAACTAAAATTTGCTATAATTTTCAGTGAAATTGTTATATTTTACGTAGCATTATTATTTCTTTAAAGATATAATATTTTGATTGTATCTTCGGATGTTTTTGGCCCAATTATTCGCAAACTTCGGGTAAAACGCATTTGCCTTTGGAGTTTCTCAAATATCCATCTTTACAATAACAACGTGGTACGCAAACTGCAGGACAATATTTGGGCCAAGTCGACGGATCTCCGACAGGTTCGCCACAGATATAGCGGGGAGATGAACATCCGCTTCCGCAGGAAGTGAATAATTCATTAAGTCCGCATAGTTCTCTAAGTACTGAAAGAAAATATAATACAAACTTTTGTAAACAGAACTTAAGAAAATATTTTTTTTTTACCTAAACAATCGTCTTTGTTTATGCAATTCCCATTTCTGTCTTGTACATATCCTTCGTCGCATTCACATCCTTCACCTATGCACTCATCAACGCAATCGTTCCAAAAGCAAGTCTTAGGACATCTTAAGACGCACGTAGTATAATGCGAGTTTGGTCCACATACTTCGAAAATAGGTAAATATTCTGTTTAGATTCATATTTTGAAAAAACACAATCACTGTAAAGCTATAACGAATTAGTTATACATAAAATAGATTATTTACATTATTGTCAAATGAAAATATACATAACCTCTATGATATAAAAAATGGCGGTTTACCAAAATAATAATGCTTCTTTTATGACACATTTTTTTCAATAGTTGACTTAAAAGTACAGTGAAATAGATGTAATTTTGACAAAAAAAACTTATACTTTTTATTTGAATTTCCTAAGTTATAATTGAAACAACAGTTATAAAAGAAAACATAAAAAATGTTAAAAAAAAATAGTATTACCAAAAGATGTTGAACTGCCCACCATCAACAGGATGCAAGCAAAAACGATGAGAAGTTTCATTTTGTATGTATCTCGAATAAATTCCAATTCTACAGGAACGTTTCCGACATTTATAGTAAACAAATTTTGGCTAAAAAAAGTCTCGCGATAATATTAATTGTTCTTTCAGGCTTGAAACAAAAGGCAGCAATAAACGGATTACTTGAAATAAATAAGGCGGACATTATCTTGGCGATGCGGCTGTAATAAAAGTACAAAAAAGAAAGACAATAGCAAAAACAAATGAAAATGCATTTACATATTAATGTTGAAAAATTTTCATACAAAATGTGAAAAAATCATATTTATGTGCAGTATTTCCATTTTTTTAGAAAAAAAGAAAAAACGATTATTATCTAATGATAAAAAAAAGTTATGTACTTAGATTAGGTTAATAGCTGGTTGGTTTATTACTATGGAAACTTTAATTTTCAGCTCCTGCTTTCTGTAATCTTCGTTACTCTTGAATTTGCTTTTATAAATAAAATAAAGAATAAGTACTATTTTTTTATTATATTTAAAATTATAAAATCTAATCATTTCCTAGATTTTATGAACTTATAAATATTGTAATAAGTCTATGCGTCTGCAGAATGTCTGCAGCCTTCAACGGATCGTGAAAGGAAACTTTGTAAATGCGACCTACGCGAATTCCGCATCCGTTTCCGCAGTAATTGTAGACTTCATTTGGATCATCTCAAACCCTATAATCACAACATTTCAATGATTTTACTGATAATTAAGTTCACATTCATTAAATCAAAACATGAATGGTTTAGTTCGGCGCCGACAAGGATAAAAGCGTGTAGTAAAATAACCACGTCAAATAATCTCAACTCTGTCAATCTCCTTATGGGATTTCTTAATCCATGAAATCAAAGTAGCCTCCTACTTTGACATCCAAATACTCCAGACTCTCAACACCAAATACTCCACCAACCCCTCATTAAAAAAAACAACCAAATCTTCAACCTCCACATCTACAATGTCTCACTTTCCCTACATGATAGTACTCTATCGCCAGTTCAAAATAAAAATCCAATTTTAAAGGAAATGTATCCGTCTTCACTACAAACACCTTTTGATCCAAAACATACATATTCACTTTAGTGCCTAGGTTACTAAGATCTGTATTTCAAAAATGCTTGTTACTGCGTGCGTTTTGCCTTGGAGGCTTGTTCATAGCAAATACTTTAACAAATTATCAGCTAAATATAATAGTTATTTTAAAGACTGTCAAATGACAATTAACATAACTTCTATAATACCTAACGTTTCATTTATGACGTTTATTCTTGAAGTTAACAAAAAGTATACCATTGGTTTAATTATTAAGAAAAATAATATTATTGGTAACACGTAAATCAATTTTACAATAAATTTAAATATGTTTAAATAATTTCCACAAAATGAATTAACAGCATAATCTTAATAAAACAAACAACTGAGAGCAATCAGAATTTTGGTAACTATTATTTTTGAAAGGTACAAATCAAATAAATATAGTTATTGCAATTAATTCATAGTTTATTCAGGTCAATTATTCAAAATCTTTCAGATATGAAAATCTCTCTGCATTATGAAGGATAAATTCTGAAATCATCCGATTTTGCTTTTTGCAGCTGAAATAATTAGAAGAACAAAGGTGTAATTTGTAATTACATTTCAATGTAAATAAACTAAAATTTGTTGCAATTTTCAATGAAATTATTATATTTTACGAATCATTATTTTTTTAAAGATATAATCAAAATAGTTCGGATGTTTTCGGCTCAATTATTCGCAAACTTCTGGTAAAACGCATTTGTCTTTGGAGTTTCTCAAATAACCATCTTTGCAATAACAACGCGGTACGCAAACTGTAGGACAATATTTGGGCCAAGTCGCCGGATCTCCGATAGGTTCTCCACAAATATAGCGGGGAGATGAACATCCGCTTCCGCAGGATTGGTAGTATTCGTTGGTTCCACACGCACGTCCAGGTTCTAAAAGAAAAGAAAATGGAAGCGTTGAAAACAGAACTTCAATTTTTTTTTTATTTTTTTACTTGAACAATCGTCTATGGTTATGCAATTCCCATCTTTGTCTTGTACATATCCATCGTCGCACTCACATCCTTCACCTATGCACTCCTCAGCGCATTCGGTCCAAAAGCAGGTCCTAGGACATCTTAAGACGCAAGTAGTATAATGCGAGTTTGGTCCACATACTTCGAAATATACGTAAATATTCAGTTTACATTCACATTTTGAAAATATTTCAAGACAATCACAATCATAGTAAAGTTATGCGCATTCAGCACATATTTCCCGAAACATATTACAATAAGAAAACATGAAAAATGTTTCAAAAATAATATTACCAAAAGATGTTGAAGTGGCCACCATCAGGAGGAAGCAAGCAAAAACGACGAGAAGTTTCATTTTGTTTGTAAGTCGAATAATTTTGAACTCGATATAGAATTGAAACGTTCCCGTCTCCATTTATAGTAAACATATTTTGCTGAAAAAAAGTCTCGCGATAACATTCATTGTTCTTTGCTGCTTGAAACAAGTTAGCAATAAAACAGATTATTCGAAATAAAAATGTGGTTATTATATGGTGGCAACTCTGATAAAAGTACAAAAAAATGAGACAATTGTAAAAGCCTACCAGATGCGTATGAATTGAAGAAGAATAAATGCATTTACATTTTAATGTCGATAATTCTACTCAAAAAAATTACATATTCATGTTGAATGTATCCATTTTATTCATATGATAATCAAAATATTACATAAATTATATTCTTTTGAAAAAAATGAAACTTTGCCAATAATAAAAAATGTTAGTAAAAATAGTGTAAATCAATAGAGGCTAGTAGAAATTGGCGATAAGTGAGTAGAGGTTAGATATATTCTCATCTAAACTAACTTCTTACATCATTTAATTTATTAAAAATAAATACTAAACAAATCAGTATTATTTTAAATTGAATGATTACATTTTATTATTAGTTTCAAAATATTAGTTTGCAGCTCCTCCTTTATGAATATCTTCGTTATTCTTGAATTTGTTCCTATAAATATAGAATAATTAATAATGTATTATATATAAACCAAAATTAGTAAAGTTTGATTATATTCAGTTTAATTTTTCCATATATTTTTGTTTTCAGAAGTAAACTCTTAAATAAAGCTATTTAATGATGAAACCTGTATAATCCCGAATTTTCTTAATAATGGAAGAAGCATTTTTCGATTGGTTTTACTCCAATTAAATTCTATAATCATAGAAATGTATATTTAATGTAAATTTTTGTCCAGAGAGTTTGTGTCCATTTTTCACAATAAAAAAAACAAATTTTTGTATATCAACACATACATTTGTATATATCCATATTATATACTAAACATTAAATTTTTCTGTTAATGAAATTTTGCCTTAAAAGTGATTATGTTAAGGTTGGTTACTGGACAATCCCTTGGCTTCTTTTTTTTTTGTTTTTACTAGTCCAGTTCATTATGTTATATAAGATAGATGGCCGGAAAAAAAAGTATATTTAGGCAACGCCAATGATTCTTAACAAAATAGGCACGAACTTTCCGGACATCAATAAATTTCAATTTTAACATCATAGAAGTGTTAAATTAATACTGATATAACCTCAATAGAATAAAATTCAAAATCTAAACATTTCTTTTATGACACAATTTAACCAACGTTGTTTTTAATAATAAATTTATAACATTGTTAAACCATAATAATAGATCTGAATGTCTTCATTTCTATGAATAGCCATAGACATCTATGGTCATTAGCCTTGATCAATAAAATATATCCATAAATTATCTTATTGATGTATATGAATAAATAACTATGATACTGAGTGACGGATTATTCATAAAGGCAATGCTGCACCTTTCTAGGGACTGAAGCCTTGAGGAGCCCCGAACAAAGATATTTTCTTATAGTATTTGAAATAGATGATTGTTTTTAGTATTTTTTTGGGGGCCCCAAAAATAATTTGTCGAGGGGCCCCAATAATCCTAAATCTGCCACTGCCTATATTATATATTGGTATACTCAATGTTGTATAGTATACAAATATTAAATAAAAATTGACATAACCTCAATAAGGTAAGAATGGTTTTTATTTTCAGATAAACTTGACATGAATGATGCCCATACACACCTTTAGAATTGTTAATGGCATAGAATTTGTACATCATGAATGTTCAGTTGCAGTCTGTTTTCAAGATGCAACTGCCCGTGCTGTTCCTCGCATAGTTGGAGCCGCAAAGACATTCCACTTTTGTCATGTCGCATCCTTCCCTGCATTTCGGCTGGACTGTTTCCTTGCCGCAGGTCTCCTCCAAACGGGCGCACGGTGTCCCGTGACATTCCGCAGTCGTGTTATGCAAACACCTTATGTAACCTATAGCATCGTCGTTCCTCAGAAATATCTTTAAATGTACAACTCACTTACCTTCAACGCCTAAGCAGAGCGCGATCACGACGAACGCGAATATCACTTGTCTACCCATCTTGTCCACTGAAGATGCCAGTGAAACTGTTCTCCGTTCGTCGATAGACGATCGTTTTTTATATCTCCGACGTACAAATTGCGCATAATCGATTATTGCAAACTATTAGCACAATCACATTTATTCCAAGGTTACCTTAGTTATGTTTTCATTACAAACTTGTATTCAATCTTACGCATCTATTAAGAAATGAGAAATTTAAAGTAAGATAATTAGAGATTTTTTTTGTATAAAATTAATAAAAATATAAAAAAGAAGTGGTGAATTAAAGCTAAATTGAGAGGTTAAAAGAAATAAAGAAAAGTAATTATTTTTCGATCAAAAGATAAGTAGAAATTAATTGAAAGACCTTAATTAATAAAAAAAAAATATAACTATGGAAAATTAATTACTTATATATTGTGCTATTTCGATACAACATAAAACTTATGTTAATTTTATTTAATTCTTCAAGTATGATAATATAAAATAGAGAAATTAGAAATGTGTAGAAAATCAAAGAACACAGAGGATTTCAAATTTGTGTTATTGTGACAAAATGTAAGGTCACAAGACATTTTCGGGTCGTCTTGATAAATGATAAGTTGAGAATTACGTAACTGATAATTGGTTGCACTGAAAACAGTCACAAAACTATGAACAAACAATATTTATATTATCAAAGTAAGCTTACATTAGAATTACTTATTGTATTTAAGCAACGTTAAAACTCTCGAAAAGAATTGCAGTTAATATAAGGTTAAATTTACATTGCTCAGAATACACTACGGGGTTTTACTGATATAAGCCTCTTATTTGGACTATTAGCCAAATAATTAATTTTATTTGATACAGATTCAGATTCAGAACCTGCAATATAAAATTACTAAATAATTCTCTTCTTTCAACTATTATTTGTCATATAAAAATATATTTTTTTAATTTCACATTGTTCTACTGTTGCAATATTTAAAATAAAAATAACTTTTCATTAACCAATTAAATATTATTTAAAAATAAACCTGTTTTCATTAAGAAGCACATGGGTTTCTATTTAGAAATATCATGAGAACCATAAAAATGCAAAAACTAAATACAAGCCCATAAGCTTCATAAAAAAAAACGCTGTACTAGTGTGTTGGCATCTAAGTGGTTGCGTATTATAATTAAGAAGGAAAATTCATCATTTTTGCCAAACCAATTTTTTTTTAATACACTGTTAATTGCCAATCCACATTTTTCAGTGAAAAATCACCAGAACAAAATTTGGTAAACCAATTTTGACATTGCTTTTCTTTCAAGGCTTCATTCCCATATAAAGTACATAACTTCTTGTGTGCTTGCGAAACGTTCTTGCCTCAAACGATTCTATTAATCGATTTTGAACCAATTCATCGCAAGAAGATGCGCGTTTTAGATTAACACAATTAGTAGTGAATTATGTATGTGCATTTTGATTCTCCATATGTACAATGAGAAATTAAATGTTTTTTAAATGTTTCCATGTGCAATTTATTTATTTTGTTTACATGCACTTTCTCATGTATTTCGAAAATATATCATGTATTTCGGTCCCTATGCACCGCATAAAAAAGGTTTCTGTAATATATTATACAAAGTTATTTGTTATATATAAAAATTTCGATTATTTTTTGTGCAACTTTTTTTATGCGGTCCATATCTGCCGCACAGAAACAGGTTTTACTGTGATTGAATATTTTCATAAGTCACATATATGTCACATACATACAATATATAATTATGAAAAAGAAAATAATTAATTCAAAATTTTTGTAAATTCAAATATAATAAAAATATTATTTATTAATAAAATGAGTAATACCATCTAATTACAATCTTTGGTCAAATTTTAAAAATTTAGCGTAAAAATTGTGAAAAAATTAAAACTAAAATTTTAATGAGAGTCGTAATTGACTCAACGTAAAGCGGCTTGAGTATGATATATGACAAGCAAAATGTCAAAGTCCAAGAAGAGATGAGGTTAGATTATTCATTTATTTATTGAAACTATATTTCACCATATCCATGGAAACTATGCTACAGATTATTGTTTGACAAGATAGCACTGCTTAATCGGAACGCACTTGTATTCCTTGTTTCGAGCAAAACCGCGTTTGCATTCGCAAATCGATTTGCAAATCTTCGGACAAATTCTGCCAAAAGTTAGTTTACTAGACGGTATGAGTACACCGCAAATGGACTCGTTCGCTATTGCGCATCCGTTGGCGCATTTGTTGAGTTCCTCGTTAGGTTCGCATTTGGTTTCTGGAAAAGGAAACACACACACGAAATTACGTAACGATTACGGAATTAGATTGGGGTAAAATCGCACTTATTGGGGCGGGACATTGGTACTTCCGAATGCAGTTTCCATCGTTGTCCAAAATGAGACCTCTTTTGCAAGCGCATCCACTCACTTGATAAAAGGTTTCGCACGAAGTCTTTTTATGCCTGTTGGCGCAGCTCGGGGCGCATGAAGAAACGTGGCCAACGTATTTTGCGTCCGGTTTACAAACTGTATTCAAATTACAATTAAAAAGTAGTAAATTAAAGTATTCTCAGCAAAATATATTCTCACCTATCGGTTGATTAACATATGTTCCAGCTTCAAGTTGTGTTCACATAGAAATTAATGAAAACATTTATATTCGTAAATTTTCAAATTGAATTCTTCTGAAACTAGATTTAATTATAAATTGATAACTTACCAATCGGTTTCGAAACTGAAACCAAATTAAAAATTATTGCAATTATGTTTTCAATTAAAGATTATATTTTTAATAATCTTTGTTTTAGTAACAAAATTTAACATTTTTTTACCTTTAGGACATTGATGCTCCTTAATACAATTTCCTTTGTCATCCAAGAGAAAACCATCCTCACAGGCGCATCCAGCCACTTTACAAATTTTCTGACACTTGACCTTCTTGTGTCTATTTGCGCAGCTCAAGGCGCACGGTGTTATGCAACCGACGTATTTCGAATTCGGTTTGCAAACTGTATTGAAATGATTAAATAATTAAATAAAACCATCAACATGCGAAAGAAATGCTTACCGATCGGTTGATTGATGTACTTTGGAACTGAGTTGTGCGTTCACATAAAAATTAACGGCAGCACAAAATTCATCGAAGATTAACATGAAATATTAAAAATCATTTAGTTTGGATGGACAACGAATCAACCCTGAACTGAAACCTTTAGATGAGGTGAGTATAGACACCTAAAGTGTTCAGTTCTTCTAGTAAAATTGAAACAATCATTTATGATTGTATAAGAAAAAATAATAATTTAAAAAAAAAATACGTTTCAATAATGTATAAACTGTGGAAACTTGATGTATTTGCTTCTGATGAAATGCAAATCATCAAAATTAATCCTTTAACTTTAAGTGAAACTAAATCGGGTTCGGTTATGCAAACAGTCGAAAAATCGATGAGAAGTTATAAAATTTACCTGCATTTGCTAGATGCATGACGACGCAAACCGTTATCAGTATTTTCCACATTTTTCTCGAAATTTGTCACCGACTCGTAGCTAGGATACTTACCCAGTTGTGAAGGAAGGAATATTTGCGGGACTTTTATATTTATTTTCAAAAGCAGTTTTGGCACGTTTTTCCTGATTTCTACTTAAAAATAAGGATAATTTAAATGAACAATTCAATAACCACAATAAAAATAAAGCGATAATGCAAGAATTTAGTTTCATTTTGATTACATTTTAACATATTTTAAGTATATTTCATTTAGAAATACGATTTGTAAAGAAAAGATAAATGAAACATCATAATCATTAATATTTATATTTTGTTAAGTATAAATATGTCTATTTATATAAAATAAGTTTACAAGGATAGACAAAAGAAAAATTTATAGAAATATATTTTATAGTTATTACAAAAAATAGGCAAATCTTTGTAAATAATCAAGATTACTAAAGAGAAATTATATTAAAATATGCGTAACTAAAGACTTCTTATGAAAACAATTTTTACATTATTTATATAATTTGAGACAGATAAAGTAAGGTTAAATTTGTATTGCTTAGAATACGATGCCATTTCCATATAAAATAATGACGAGTTATTAAGAATTAACTTTATAGATTTCATTATTGTCTGAACAATTTTCTTTCGTGACACAGGACCCAGATTTATGTCTAAAATATCCATTGGCGCATTCGCATGTCCGAACGCACATATTTATACAATGCAAAACTAAGTTGAACTTTACTGGATCGCAGCTGGTCTCATTGCGAAAACAAATGGAACCGCATGTATTCAATACCTCGTGTTCACCGCAATCTTCGGCTGCAAAAGATATCACAATAAATAAATATAATATAGTTAATATATTTAACAAAAGTTTTACCTACGCAGTGCAGAGCTACAAAGAGCAGACAAAAGATTATCGCAGATTTCATCGTCGCTTGTTGAACAATAAATATCATCGATCGATGATTGCTCTGCCTTTTTATATGAAACATCGGTAAATAAATACAGCATAATCCGTAGCGTTGATTGTTCATTTCCAGGTATCGTTGCAGACAAACATAATTTAAAAGTAAAATATTAAATGAATCGAGTTAGAAAATTTGCTAATAATAACATTAATTTTTGCAAAAAGTACGCAAATATTAGCAATGCACAAATGGAAAATTGTTGTTTTCTATTATTGCGATTCTTGAATATATAAGAAAATCATCAAATTTGGTATAAATCAATGTTTTTGATAACTATGAAAAGTAAAATTAATGACTTTTTTTATTTTCAAACTCTTTATGTTATGTTGAAGATAGAAGAAAATAATTAAGAAAACTGAAATTTCGAGTAATATTTATATATTTAAGTAAGTTTCATATCGATTTATTATTTTATTATTTTTCTCTCAACAGTTTTCTTTCGTCACACATTTATTTGATGAATTCCTAAGAAACCCATCGGCACAGACACACATTGGAACGCAAACAGCAGCACATTCTAAATCTTCGATGGGCTTTGCTGGTTTGCAACTGGGCTCATTAGGAAAGCACGCAGATCCGCAAGGATTGAAAACTTCATTTTTATCGCACTCTTTGGCTGCCAAAAAGTTTATCAGAATTTAGCAATAAAATATTATAAATAAAAAGGATACCTTACCGACGCAGCACAGAGCCACTAAAAGCAAACAGAAGACGATTGAAGATTTCATCACTCCAGTTCTTGGTTAAATAACATTTATTGTTGCTCAGTCTTTTTATACGTGCGCATTTCATATATACGACGAAGCACATTATCGTTTATTTTTAATTTATACGTATTGTATAGAAACTTGTCAATAAAATATCAAATATTTCATAAATAGCGTGCATCGACAAAATTCTTGATATTTACATTTTTTTAAATTTTTCTAAAAAAAATGCACTTAACTTGTATGCAAATACTTTGTAAAAATATTTAAAAAAGCGACTCTCAGAATGAGAATTTTGAATTCAATTTCATTAAGTAAGACATATTTAAATACTAGTACTTTCTTTAAAAATTATGTTTCTTTAAAAGTTATCGTGTCGCAGGGATATAATTCTGGACACAGTGGAATATTGTCTGGTGTTGTCGTTGTGGAGTCTCAGTTGTAGGAATTAAATAATTCAATTGGTTTTACATAACTTTATTCGTTACTTGGTCGTTTTACTAAAACTCTATCAGTCTTTGAAAGTTTTAATGAGACTGATTCTAAATATTTATTCTACTTACAAAGTTAATTCTTATTAATACGGGGTGGAAGTTGTGATTGGGAGTTGGGCTTGTATATATTGATGATTAAGCGTTCCTACGGGAATCGACCTTGGTGGTTTTGTTTATTATTAGACCGGGACAAAATCCTATGCATTTGTTTATATGAAAAAGATGATCGATTACGATTGTAAGTGTAATGATCATTATTTGTTTATACTAAGGACTTGAATTCGGAGTAAAGGTATAGGAGTATCGATGGGAATGTTTGCGCTTGGTCCCCTTTGTTTATATTAAAGTGTATCGAAGCGGGATCACGGTGGAGGTTCTATTATGCTGATATATATGTTTATATAATAATGCGACTAAGAGACGCCGTGGATGTTTCTAGTTCGTTAATGCACTATATTAAACAATTATAATAATAATACACAACAGCGTATTCAGGTTGAAAACTATTCATTTCAAAATAAATATAAAAAAGTTACAAGAAAAATGTGTTAATTAAAATATGGGTACGCGGCAGCTCGGCGACAGACAAGTCAACAACGGTCAAGTCGGCGATGGATACTCAAAAAAATATTTTTAGAAACTAATACAAGTTATTGGGTAAAAAATATAACATAAGATCTAAGTCTATTATTAATGTATTTGTTTTCATTTTTATATAAACCTTAAAATTAAGAAATATTATAAATTAAAATTAATTTGTTGTTATTAATATTAAATAATAACAATTAATAAACTCATTTTATTATAGAATATTTCTAATTATTAAGTTTTATAATGAATATGTCAACGAAAATACAATAATAATATATTGTTATTTATTGCTATTAATACTAATAAATAATCAGGCTAATTTTATTTATTATTTTAAATACTTTTTGAGTATCCATCGCCGACTTGACCTTCGCCGACCTGTCGCATAATATGTATCTAAGTAGATATCAATGTAATTAAATAAAGAAAACTTTTTTCTATTTTATTCATTTAATTTCCTTTATTATATAAGTAAAAATAAGTAATGAAAAATAAGAAAATAATTAAATCTAATGCAAAACAGGCGGATTAGAATAATACACTTAAATACATTTCAAATCGATTTGTATTTAAAACTAAGAGAATGTATTTAAAATTAAAGAAAACATCTTAAAAATTGTGACATTGTAAGAAAAATTAATGAAAAATGAATCGATTTATTAAATAAAAATATCTCAACAATTTTCCTTCGCCACACATATCCACGATGCATTCCTAAGAAACCCATGGGCGCAGATACAGGCAGGAAAGCAAATGCCACCACATGTTATAACATTGATGATTATTCCAGCTGGTTTACAAGTGGGCTCAACAAAACAGGGCGAAATGCATGAATACAAAACTTCATTTTTACCGCACTCATTGGCTGCAAACAAAAAATATATATTACAATGTAACAATCAAATATTACAGATCAAAAAGAATCTGGATTTTTTTTACCAACGCAGCATAGAGCCACCAAAAGAAAATAGAAGACTATCGAGAATTTCATCATTACCGTTCTTAGATAGTTAATAAATAACGTTGATTGTTGCTCAGTCTTTTTATATGTTTGCGCTCTATTGGAACATCATTAAATACAAGACGAACCGCATTAACGTTTATTGTTAATTTATACGTATCAAAACCTCTAATAAAGAGAAATTAAAATAGAATTTTCTTAATCTAAATGTGAGAAAAAAACTACAAGAATTGTTATCAGTTTCCCACATTGCACCACAAAAAAACAGGAGTTTTTACTTGAAATTCGAGGTAAACCTGAAATCACCACTGACTGTTATAAAATGAGACACAACTCAACTGTATGCGCATATTTTCGGATAAGAAATAAACCTCAGAAAGAATGCAAACATCATTCCACATACAAATACGTATAGAAAATTGTCGATAACATCTCAAGCATTGAGTAAATAGCATTTTAATATTTTATTTTTTTATTTTTTTTTGTAAAAAGTACTTTGTAAAAATATTTGAAATATTAACTAAGAGATGTTTAAAACTTATTTTTATTTCTTTACGAATCTTTAAGTCGTTTCCAGGTTTAAACAATTCATTTTAGAATAGAAATAAAAAAAAATTACCAAAATTTAATTAATAAATTAAAATTAATGTAATTAAATAAAGATTCCTTTTTGTCTTTGATTTAATCTATCTATCAATATAGTAATGAAAACTAAGAAAATGTAATGCAAAACAGAAAGATATTCAGCAAAAATAAATTTTGGAAAAATTATGAAAGTTTTGCTGAATTACATTTTTTAGTAAAAATTAGTAAATTAATAAATAAAATTAATGAGATTTTCTCAAAATAGTAACGACAAATAAGAAAATAAATAAATCTAATGCTTAAAAGGAAAATATTTAGAAGATAATAATTTTGCTCAACTTTAAGTTTTTTTAATATAGGTAAAAATATATAAATTAATGATTATTTATCAAAATGGTTATAAAATAATTAAATCGAATGCAAAACAGGAGAATTAGACATTTATAAGCAAAATTGAGAAAATATATAATAACACATTTAAGTGCATTTCACATAGATTTATTAGAATTTCCTTAACAGTTTTCCTTCGTCACGCATTTCCCAGAATGATGCCTAAGATACCCGGAGGCACAGTCGCACGTCGGACTGCAGACAGCGGGACATGGTACATCCGCAATGGGCCTCGGTCTGCAGCTCGGCTCATTCGGAATGCACGTAGATCCGCACGAGTTAAAAACCTCATTTTCGCCGCACTCTTTAGCTGCAAAAAAAATAATAAAACCACATATAAAACATTCAATGTCAAAAAGTACTTACAGGCGTAGCACAGAGCTACCAGGAGCAGGCAGAAGACGATCGCGTATTTCATCGTTTGCTTGTTAGATCATAAATAACATCGATTATCGCGCGACCTTTTTATACGTGCATGTGCGTTACGTAACGGACGAATCGTATTAGCGCTGCTTGTTGATTTCCACGTGTCATTTGGGAATCCCAAGCGACGAGATGAGATGGAAACTTGAACGAAAATAAACAAATCTGGTAACCAACGCGATGATAGCATCAAATTACGAGATGCCAATTAATATATCAACATCCAATCATTGTTCGGGTTAAAGGTCACGTTACCAAAACAAACATCTATTATCTATAGAAGTTATTGACTTAAAAATACCAATTGTATTAAAATAAAAATTAAAATGTTTGTGTTGTTTCCAAATAATTTACTTTCCACTTACCATAATTATTCAGTTAGTATTGCTTTTTGCTATTTTTCAAACATTTTACGTTTCCAATTAGAATTGGTTATTTGAAGAAACAATTTTTTTTTATATTCAAGGTTATGAGAAATTTGTTTATCATCCAAGATCATGTATTACATTTGTATTACATTTTATTGTTTTCAAATATATGCATGTACATGCTTTAATAAAAAATAAATACATCTTATGTAAGTTTTAGAAATAATTAAACAGTAAACAACAGCTTTTTTTCTCATATTAATTGTTTCAAGGTGTAAAATTTGTATTGGGTAGCTGATACTTCTTGCTGTGATAAAATAAACAATGTAATGAAATAATAATATTGATTGCAAATTATTATAAACATTTAGTGAATTGTATATCTGTGAATGTTAGAAAATAAAACTATTAAAACAAAAGGATAAATCATTATTTTAAGAATTATGAAAAAGTAATTTGCAAAGTTAGAGTGCATAAAAGATTGTTTTATTGAGAATTTCTTTAACAGTTTGTCTTGGTCACACAATTTCCAGACGGATGTCTAAAATATCCAGGAGCACAAGCACACATCTGAACGCAAACGGCGGCGCATCCTATGGGTCCCATGGGTCTTGGTGGTACGCATTTGGACTCGTTCGGACGACACGCAGAACCGCAAGATATATAAACCTCATTTCTTCCGCACTGTTGCGCTGCGAATGAATAAAACAATAAAATTAAAATGGGGGAAAAAACGAAAATCGGAAACGGAAATATTACCAGTAGAGCACAGGGCTACCAAAAGCAGACAAAAGATGATCGCTGATTTCATCGTTGTTTGTCGGGTAATGAACATCATCTATTATCGCTCTGCTTTTTTATATGTGATCAAATATAGGAAAATCGTTACATAATGGAAAGATAAACCGCATTAGCTTTGTTCAATTCCACGTATCGTTATAATTTATAACTTTAAGAGCAAGATGAAAAAGAAATAATACATATATAAATTATTGTCGATAGTTTTTATTATCATCTATTGTATAATTAATATGTATTTTTATATATTTAGGTCTACCACTTTCCTCTTAATTATTATAAAGCATACTTCACGTATCCATCAAATATACAAACGGATACTTGCACCTGATTATTCAGAATAATTTGTGGAATATTCCGAAGAACGGTTACACATTAAATCGTATAGTTGCGTCTATTTTATCAGCACTTAACAGCCTTTTCTCATCGTTGACATGACATGACATGATCTATTGTCGCTCAGTCTTTTTATATATAATCAAGTGTAGGAAAATCGTTACATAATGGAATGATAAACCGCAGTAGCTGTGTTCAATTCCACGTATCGTTATAATTTCTAACTTTAAGAGCAAGTTGAAAAACAAGATATATATATTTCAGTTTCAAAATTGGAAAAAAAAACACATTTTAATTTACTGTGGCAAAGTTAAGAAGAAATTTTAAAACATAATTTTAATTTAATTGTTTCAGAAAACTAGTGATTTATTTTATAGTGAGTAAGGTAAAATTGATAAAATTTTATGAAAATGTAACTCATGAACATAAAGGAAAAAATACTCAGGAAAATACAAAAATACTGTAATTAAATCATCAAAATAATGTATTTTCGTGAATTTCATTAACATTTTGCTACACAATATCCGGATGGATGCCTACGATACCCAGGGGCACAGACGCATGTCCGAATGCAAAGTGCAATACAAGTTAAACCCTTAACAGGTTCCGGTGGTATACAGCTGGGCTCATTCGGATAACATGCAGAGCCGCATGTAATAAAAACCTCATTTCTACCACACCGTTGCGCTACGCAAGAATAAAATAAAAAAACAAAAGAACACAATTAAAAAAAAACTTACCAAAGGTGCACAATGCTACCAACATCAGACAGAAGATGAACCCAGATTTCATCGTAATTTGTCAGGGAACAAGTGACGACGATATTGTCGCTCGTCTGTATTATATTGTTGAATTATTGATACATAAACCGCAGTAGCTTATTTCATCTTCAAAATATGACTGTTGCACTTCGATTAACATTTTTACAAGTAATTGATAGATGTTGGAGAAAGTGATCTTCATGTATTTTGTATAGTTTTTTTTTTATTTCTATATTTTAGTATTATTTACTTCAAAACTTTAGTATATAAATTAGTTTATATAAATAATTGGTAATAAAATACTCATTTTCCTTTTTCTGAAATCAATTATTATTAAAATCAGGTAACAAAATTTAATTATTGCAGTTCCGAAATATATTTAATTGAACTTTTTTTTTAAATAAATTGGAAAAAATACAAAACTTTTACATAAAATTATCTAAAATAAAAAAAAGCATTTTAAATCATGGAGTCCAAGTGCCTACGCACCCTGGTGCAAGCCCACTGGTACGTCACGAACGACACGATACACAATGACCTCCATATGATCACTGTAAAGAGTGAAATCCCCAAGTTCAGTGCCCGTTACCAGAACAGACATGAAAACCATTCCAACAGTCTCGCGTTATTCCTGCTAGACAACAGTGACATCCTCCACAGACTAAAGAGACACAACACCCTCGACCTCCCCGTTAGAAACAAAAAGTTGGTTTTCTTGTTCATTAGAGTGAATATCTTTATTTAAGTTACATAGTGTTGTCAAAATCAATTTTTAGTTGGGTTGTTATTGAATTATTTTTTTAGTTAAATTTATATTTATTTGTAGGAAGATTTCCGATGAGAAATCGTTCCACTCCACGCTTGTTATTTTGTTTTTCTGTTTTTTTTGTCAATTGTCAAAAAACTACCAAAATTGGCAGCTTGTGAATGATTAAAATTTAAAAAAATTGATATGTGGAGTGGAAAGGTAAAACATATTATTTAACTTCACAGTATAGATGCATTACAGATCGATTTATTGATAATTTCTTTAACAATTTCCCTGTGTCACACAATATCCAGATGGATGTCTAAGATACCCGGGTGTACAGACACACATAGAAATGCAAACGGCAAGACAATTTACATCCACGAGTAGAATTGGCAGTATGCAGCTGCGCTCATTTGGGTGGCATGCAGAACCACACAAGTTGAAAACCTCGTTTTTACCGCACTGTTCCGCTGTGAAGAAAAAAAAAACAATCAAATTATTATAACAAAAAAAGGAAAATCAGAAATCTTACCGGGGGAACACAGTGCTACCAATAGTAGACAGAAGATGATTGCGGATTCATTGTTGCTTGTTAGGTAATGTATATCAATTATTGTCGCTCGGCCTTTTTATATGCAATTTGACAATAGGAAAAGCTTTGTTTATTCTCGGTTATCTTATTATTTCTTTTCCACTTTATTTATACTTTAAAAGAGAGATTATATAACCAAATTTGAGTAGGTCTATAATTAAGTGACATATATACTTTCTAGAATATACATTTCTTTTAGTAACTTAATTATTTGCTAACAAAACTTTTTAAAATTCGACAAAAAAAATAAACAATTAGATCATTTCGTAAATAAGTATTTAATTTTATTCAAAAGAAATGAAAGATGTAAGGACTAGTTTTACATTAACTGCGATTTTAGTATATCTGAATAGAATCTCCTGCAAATTTCAGGATAATGATGGAGCACAGTGCTATCATAATCAGCGTAGTGTTGTTAGAATATATAAAAAAATAAATAAAAAACTAAATGAAGCAAACTAGAAAAGTTAATTCATTTTTTCAAAGAAATTTAGTGATTTTTAGTTAGTAATGTAAAATTAAAGATTTCTATTAGATCTTTATGAGATTTCTATTAATTACAGATCGATTTTTTAAGAATTGGCTTAACAGTTTGCTTTAGTCACACAATGTCCAGAATGATGTCTAAAATACCCAGGGGCACAGACACATGTTCCAAGACAAAAATGAATACAAGATTTTTCGTCAATGGGTTTCGGTGGTATGCAGCTGAGCTCATTCTGATAACACACAGAACCGCATGATATGAAAACCTCGTCTTTACCGCACCGTTGCGCTATGATAGAATAAAATAAATAAACATAATAAAAAAAGGAAATAGTAAACTTACCGACGGAGCACATTGCTACCAATAGCAGACAGAACATGATCCTAGATTTCATCGTTATTTGTTAAGAAACAATTGACGACGATATTGCCGCTCCTCCCTTTTTATATGTGGAACATTGTTGCATTCCTCTCCTTCTTATTCAGTCTGTAAGCATCCACTCCTGGACATATACCTCTTCCATTTGTTTCCACGTCGTTCTCTCTTGCATTGCTTTGCATTATGGATAGATAAATCGTAATAGCTTGGTTTGTTTTCAATAATCTGTATTCATTATAAACGAGATGAAAATATAGATAAATAATTAATACTTTTGTAACTACATTTTGAACACTATTAACTAAAAATTATATATATATATATAATCGAAATTCAAAATTTTTCTGAAATAATTTTAATCTTGTGCAGTTTCAAATCAATAATGTTAACTACTAGAAATAAGAGAGCCAAACCGAAATTAATTTCGCTCCGGTTTACAGTTACGTTCCAAATAAATGTTTCGTTTCGTTTCCGTTATAAAAATTTCTGTTTGTTTCCGTTGCGGTTTATTTACCAAAATACCTTTGTACTCTTGATTTCATATAAAATAGAAAAAATATTTTTGCAAAGCTTTGTTTCTTGCGCAATTATGATCATTCCTAGTTCTTTTTATTTTTAAGGTACATTTCAAGATCTGATTGATTACTTGATAATAATTAAATAAATTTTGAACCGAAATACTATTTTTTCGTTCTAAACGAAATTAACCGTTATTAAAATTTCGATAAAACTTCCGGTTAATTTGGATTTTCTGTTTAGGGTTCGCATCCGGTTCGACTCTGCTAGAAATAGGTCATTTCCAAAGTCAATAAGAATATAGAGCATAATGAGCGGATCGGAGACATGGCTGTAAAAATTATGGAAAAATATTGATAATTAATTGCAGATCGATTTATTGAGAACTTCCTTAACAGTTTTCAAATGTCACACAATTTCCAGAGGAATGTCTAAGATACCCGGTGGCACAGACACACTTTGGGGCACAAACTGTAATACAATATTCACCCTTAACGGGCATTGGAGGTATGCAGCTGCGCTCATTCGAATAGCACGCAGAACCCCATGAAATGAAAACCTCGTTTTTACCGCACTGCTCGGCTAAAAAAGATTAAATCAATCAAAATAATATATAAACCGGAAATCTTACCGGTGGAGCACAGTGCTACCAATAGCAAACAGAAGATAATCGCAGCTTTCATTGTTGGTTGTTAGACAATGGATATCATATATTGTCTTATTGTATTAAATTTAAAAATAAGAACAACGTCGCGCAATGGATTAAATGAATCGCTGAAGCTTTGTTGTTTTCCTCTTATCTTACTTTATTATTTTCCACCTTATCTAGACATTATATGCGAAATTAAATGAAAGAGAACAACTAAATTTGAGCAGTTTTAAACTCGTCTATAATTGAGCAACTACAGAAATGTAAAGTTTGTAGAATATATAAATAAATGAATAATTTTATTATTTATGAATTAATTTTTGTTTACTTAATTATTGGTTATCAAAACTGTTTAAAATTCAACAAAACAACTTTTGTATTTTGAAATCAAGTTACAAATAATCATTTAGTAAATTAGTATTTTCTTTTATCTAAAAGAAACGAAAGAAATAACTACTAGTATTGCATTCACCGCGATGAATGCATCTTCCAGTTTCAGTATCCCTGACTTGACCATTCGGACAATCGCATCTCCTGCAAACTTCAGGACAATGATTCCTGTTCCTTTTGTTGTACGTGCACGTTCTGAAGCATCCTCTGCAGTTCCTCGTCCAACGATTCTTGCACATGTCAGAAACTAAACAAGGGAAATAAACATAGAAAAAAAGTCATTTAATTGTGTTTATCAACCGTTTTGTTGCAAGACGTTGCAATCCTCGGATTTGACGCATCTCTCGGAGCCGAAGACTCGGATGTAGCCCGGATTGCAGTAGCATTTTGCTACTCTGCTCAGCGGACAGTGATGGTTCTGACGATTATCACAGGTCATGCAATCGTATCCTATTTCGCTGTACGTTGAATTTGGTCTGCAATTTGTACCTTAACAAAAAATAATAACAGTTTCTTTTTTTGAATGAACAATATAATTGTTACTATAGGGTTATATTAACTTTTGCGAATTTTGACATTTGCAAAACATCATATTTTATTACAGAACAAAAGGTTGTCATTTTGTTTGATCGCTATATTATTTCAGTTGAGGTTATCTAAATTTACATTTGACAGTTGTGACGTGTGGATTCTTAATTTTTTTAAGTTATATCTTCAAGAAGGCATTGTTTGTATACGAATTTAATTATGAACAAAATCTTCCAAACTAAGTTTTCTCCCATGTCATTTTGCATTTAGATAAGAAAAGTATTATTTTATAAATCTGAAAATTTAATGGTATATTTATTTGTGGGCAAATTAAACTTAATTTCTGGACGATGTAAACTGTGAATTTGATTTATGTTTTGATGAGATTCCTTAAGAGCGTTATGAACGTGGACTAAATAAAGTGAACATGTAAATTCAATAAATTGTTAAGACATTTTTTGCGGAAAAAGAATGGGGAAAGACGAATAGATTCTAAAAACGTCCTTGGCCGCAAAACGAGGCAAATTTATTAAAGAGGGTTCTGATCCGTGCTGTGCGTGCGTGTTTTTTTTGTCTATTTGCCCCCCTCGAAGGACGAGCTTGAGCGCGTATTTTCAGGACGATTTACGTAAAGGACTTTTCGCAGCATTGCAGGCAGGATTGGCAATCTGAGCCTATCTGCAGCACGTCCTCATCAACATCCTGTTATCCTTTTTTTGGCAGTTGAAGGTCAGAAGATCGGTGCCAAACAATCGAGTGGGCGACCGTTGTCGTAAAAACGAACGACCAATTTCGTCGACGCGACCCCTATGTAATTACTTAGGAAACCCTTTTCCTCGCAGCGCCCTCATTATAAGATCAAATTATACCGTATTACTTTAACGACTCGACACTTTGCCACCACGATATTTCCTTCTTCTCGTATAGTTTACTTCCACGTTTCGCACGCAAACTTCCGCACAAAATGTAGGGCAACATCGACAAACTTGGCAACCTTGCAACCTTCTAATCCAATTCAGATTTACACAAAACGTGCTAATAATTTATTTATTCAAATTATAAAACTTATTTCAAAAATATTTTGTAATTCTATTGGATATTATCATATGCTTAATACATTTTGAATTAAAAAAAGCATATTATTAATTTTTAAAATTCTAATAAATCGTAAATGAATTTTATTTGTACGTTCATGTATGATTTGCAAGTTCCTAGAAATAAATTTAGAATATTTCCACAAAAAGAATAATAATTTGTTAATCACGATTTGCTCATTGTTCTCTCACATGTTTATAATAAACAACGCAATTGCAGAAAACAACATTAATCAAAGAAATATAGATTAGAGTATAGATTTATGTTGTTTTTATTAGTTGTCCCTGGAATTGAAACAATTGATTCGATAATTTGTTCGTTCTAACAATTAATAAAAAAAAGATTTACCTTCGTAGATTACGCAATCTTCGATGCCGATGCATAGATTATCACCGACGTTCCTCACGAATCCAGGATTGCAGTAGCAACTGGTTCTTCTATCCAGATTACAGATTTCCGTCTTGTAATTATCACAATTGTGACACGAATATCCTGCGTCGCTGTAAGTCTCGTTCAAGGAGCAAGCGTCTAAAATGTAAAAATATGATATTGTCATAAAAGAAGCGTTATTTATTCAATTTTGGAATGATCAATATTTTGATTAATCACTATTATATACAGCAGGGCTTCCCTAACGTGGCGCCGCGGCTGTACTGTAGGGGCGCTGCGAAAATTCTGATATATTAACATAAATTTCGTCCTAACATAGACCAATGTTTTGACTTGGAGAAAATCTAATATATATAGGGCGCCGCAAACCGAAAAAACAAATGGGAATCCCTGATATACAGTAAAGAAAGTTTAGAAAAATTGTCAATTTGAAACATAAAATTTAATGTGATTCAATTTAAAGAATCAATTTGAGGCATAAGGCATAATATTTTTTAATAAATCAATTTTATGTTTATATATTATGCAATTAAAGTTTGAAGTCTTGAATAAACTGTTTTTATGTGAAAATCAGAAACAATTTAGAAATGTAAACGGACTTTTTAATTTTGTTTGCGGAATAACTTACTTAAGCTTGAACAATCTTGAGGACGGATGCATCTTTTAGAAGAATCACGGATAAATCCAACTTTGCAATAACATTTGGTTTCGGTTTGGAAGGCGCAAGAACTTCGTGGATTTTGGCATGTGCTACAGTCGTAGCCTCCGACAGAAAGAGTCTCGTTGACGGAACAAACTTCGAAAGAGATTATATATCAACGAAAGAGAGTTTGTTTTATAATCTTACTAGTACTTGGTGCTATAGTTGAGTCAGTAGTGGTTGGAGTTTGTATCGTAGGATCAGTAACAGCGGTTGGAGTAACAGCTAAAACGAAAAAGTTCATTATTAAATTTATTTCTTTATTAACAATTAATACTGATAGAAATAATTAAAAATATATTAATTTTCAGTTTGTATATTAATAAAAAAAAATTATGTTTTGGGACAGAAGTTAAAATTGTCTTACTTTGTCCATCGTTCTGGGCATGGATAAACCCGAAGCACAAGAGTAACAGCACCGATCGCATCCTGATGGCAATTACCAGTAAAACCCAACAGAAAAAAGACTATAAGTGTTCTTATCACTTTTTGTTCATTAAAAATTGTAATTTCGGCCGCGATATTGTAATATTCCCTGATCGGTTATACCTGATTAGCTCCAAGGTTCCCGCATAAATATTTATTGTTTGATGCTAGTTATTAAATATTCATTTCTCCTTTTCTTTGCGCAATTTTCTCACAAAGAATCTATAGCATTCAAATTTTCTACATTAAATTTATATTTATTTTCTAATTAATCGATAATATTAACAACCATTTATATACAAATATACATTAAAAAATTAAATTAATTGTTAAATTATAATTCATTATATTATTAAATTAGTAGTCTATTGTGAGTCTTTTATGCCTGCAATAAAATAAATATTAATATTTAATAATTATGTCATAGCCAATTATTGTTGTGAATGAAAATGTTTAATTGCAATAAATATTATTATTTATAAATTTAAACTTATATAAATATTCTGTAATTAATTTTGGCAACAATTACATATATTTTTGATGTTAGATTATTTCAAAATAATAATTTTCAATATTTATTACTAACACTAAGTATTTATAGAAATAACTAAAGTATAGTTAGTTGGTTATCATTCAATTTGTGTAAATATTAATAATTAAATAGTTCGTAAATAATATTTTCTTACTTGAAATATCAATATTAAGTAAATCTAAATGAAAATTGTCTAGTCAAACTAAATTTATTATGTATATATATAATGAACGGTGGAATAATATCTAATAATTGAAGATGATATATAAATAATAATACATTTCGATATAAACAATTTATTGTAAACAAATGCTTTGTTATGACAACCTATTCTTGTGGAATGCAAACACCTTGGTCATTACGTTTGTAACCATGGATACAGAAACAACCAGGAACGCACTTGGCGCATGTTTTAACGTCTTTCTGATCGGAGCATTCGCACAGGACTGTATCGTAGTAAGTTTCGTGCTTTTCACGGTCACAATCTTAAAATTAAAAGAAAAATAGTTTCATAGCTAAAAATTGACGAATTGATGAAATTATTACACGAATAGCAGGATTCTTTGGGTACGCATTTATCGGATCCCTTTTTCTCAAAAACATAACCTTCCTTGCAGAAACATCCATAATCGCATCCACTGACACACCTGATCATTATATGCAAATTATCACACGATTTCGGACATTTCGTTCCGCAGACATATTCCGAAAATTCAGGGCAAGCTGAAATTAAATAGATATATATATATTAGAAAAAAGTTGCGCTTTTGTTTTTTACATAAGTTTACTTACCTGTTACACTTGAAACGCAGATTAGCGCGAAAACCGCAGTTAATAATTGCATGTTGACTAATAGTCAACATTCGTCGGACTATGCTCGTTTACATTTGCCAACTTTGTTAAATAATCTATCTAGTTTTTTTTTATATTTTTCTATAACCATGCAACAATGGATCATAAATCTATAAGCATTTTCTTTGTTTCTAACTTTTATTTCACTTTTACTTATACATTAACACTTTTACATTAACATATGTTCATATTTTCACAATGTCTTAATATTTATTGAACTATAATATTTGAACTTTTCAATAAATATTGGGTTGGTTCATAATTTTAAAGCGTTTTTATAGGCGGTTTTTTTTAAATAAAAATTGCTGTTTTGTTTAGCCATTTTTTCATAATAAATATTGTTTAAAAAACGTCTGAGAATTACGCACTAACCACATAATAATATATGTACATATTTGTGGCAATTAATAATAAAATTAATTGTAGTAATATATTAATTGTAGTGTGACGGTGCTAGTGTTTTCGTTTATTTATATAGACATTCGAAAAAATAATTTTTCAACATTGTGTTGGTCGGTCTATTGTTAATAGAGTATATAAACAAACAATGTAAAAGAGACATCGATGAAGTCTCTTTGAATAATCCGACTTCTTTTTTCAAATCAACAAATACATAATAAACAAAACCATCAAAGCCAAATTCCGTGAGAACGCTGATAATTAAAATATAAATAAAACCCTACTCCAAATCACAAATCACATCCCATAATAATAAGAATTTATTTATTAATAAACGGAAACCACACAGCAAACATCGAATGACTTATTGAGCATTTTCGTCACGCCGAATATAAGGAACTTCAAAAACAAAAATGTCTCAAACAAACACCGACTTAAAAGAGAAAATTTGAAGAAAAAATAGCAAGCACAAGTCTTGCGTAACTAACATTAGAACAAACTCAAATGAAAGTGAGTAAAAAGGATATTAATGTAATTATCACCGAAGAAACATTACAAAGTGCATGTGTTGAACTATTATAATTGAAAACAGAAGTAAGAAGAGATTTTTTTAATAAAATTAAATCAAAATTTGATATTTGAAGCGATTTTAAATTTTAACTTTAACAAATTATTTGCTTGTTTTTCGAATTTAATTTTTAATTTCAATGGGAACCGAACTGAAACTAAGACGAAATTTTTAGACAATCCGAAACTGAATCTGGAACGAAATTAATTACGGTTCGACTCTCTGAGTAATATTCAGCAAAAGTGAATAGAAAATGTATGGTTCATTTAAAGAATTCATTTTTTCACTTGTTATTATGAGTAATAACAATAGAAACACAATTAAATTGAAGTTTATAAATTTCATTGTTTTAAATAAACAATGTCAGAATATAAATAAAATTGAAAGTAAATTTAAGAAGTGATGATAATATCACTTCTTTAATTTAAAATCTAGTGTCTAATCAACTAAATTTATACCCCCCTTGCGGTAGAAATGTCAATATCAATAATAATTGATATAAATCTCTTAATAAAAATATAATATTGTAAATTAAATGACTCACAAAGTAATTACCATTTTGTTTATATACAAAATCATTTATTAACAATTAATTGTAAGCAAAAAACCGGTTACATCGTTATGGCAACTTATTCTTCTTGTACACAAACACCTTGGTCGTTACGTTTGTAACCATGGATACAAAAACAACCGGGAACGCACTTGGCACAGGTTTTAAAGTCTTTGGGATCGGAACATTCGCATAAGACCGTATCGTAGTAAGTTTCGTGCTTCTCGCGGTCACAATCTGAAATAATAAAATATAGTTCAGCGCAAAAAATTACGAAGTTATAAAATTATTACACGAATAGCAGGATTCTGTGGGCACGCATTTATCGGATCCATTTTTGTCAAAAACATAACCTTCCTTGCAAAAACATCCATAATCGCATCCACTGATGCATTTTATCATTATATGCAAATTATCACACGATTTCGGACATTTCGTTCCGCAGACATATTCCGAAAATTCGGGGCACGCTGAAAATAAAAAGAAAAATTATAAAAATGTTGCGATTTTGTTTTTTAACGTAAACCTGCTTACCGATTGCACATGAAACGCAGATTAGCGAGAAAATTGCAGTTAATAATTTCATGTTGTCCAACACTCGACGTTCGTCAGACTGTGCTCGTTCACTCGTGCGAGGTCTGTTAAATAATCTATAGCGACAGCGTTTGAAAGATAATTTATTTTTATATACGTTTAGGAAATATAAATTAGCAACAAAGGACCATAAATTTAGAGAAAAGATACAATGTTAATCGCGTTTACTTTATTTATAATTTTTATTACACTCATACATTATACTTATTTTAACATTAAAAATATATGGATGGATGTGGCTAATGAACGCACATTACATCGATGATTTGAGAAGTTTCGATCTGACGATTTTAATCTTCAAAGCGAACCATGACCTGACAGCAAGGTGGATAGTGATATGCCTCAAACTACGCGTGAATTATCAGTAATACGCTGCGAAACTAAATATTTACCAAATGAAACTTATAGTGTCTCTTTGGTGGACCAGCACTGGTATTTTCCACTACAGCTACCCAGGGACCCAGTCAATCGATTAAGGCAGATGTCTACCGTAACCAGATAGACAGAATAACGAGGGAGCTTGGGAATAAGCAGCCAATATTGGTGAATAAAGATAGGCCAAACCTTTTGCAGGACAATGCTCAATAACAAGTCGCACGAATAACTTTGCTCAAACTGCAAGAAACTGAACTTTTGTCCGAGTTCCTCCCTCACACCTTAAACTAAACTTGATGTTACTACGCCTCCCTTATAAAATATTTAATCAATTGACGCCTTCCCTCTCCCCCACCATTTCACAAAATAGATAAATCTTTGGCTGTCATTTGGAAAATTGCTAACTGTGACTAATATTCAAGCCTCCCCTTACTCTAGTTCGCGCCTCACGTTTTCGAAAACGCTGCCTTACACCATTTGACTACAACTATTTCCATGCATTGGAGCACTTCTTGCAAGGAAAAATATATAATTCCCAACAAGTTGTAAAAAGCACCACTCCCTCTTCATGCTTCTTCGCTGTCGGCATTAACATGCGTTAAGGTGGCAAAAATCTATTGATAGTTTAGACTTTGGTTAATTATACTACTTCTTGTTTGAGATATAATAAACCAAACATTTAGTTTGAATCGGACGAACCGAATTGAACCAATTAGCAAAGAATATTTTGTAACCGTCCTTCCAAAAACATCCTTCTCGGCATACGCAACGCATCTCATCATCACATGAAAATTGTTGCAACTTTTCGTACATTTCGTTCCGCATTTAAACTCCGAATTCTCAGGGCATGCTAGGATAATGGTGAAATTGTTATAAAAAAAATAAAATTATTGTATAGCTGCGAATGCATAAGATATACTAATTATGACAAAATATGTAAATAACTTCAACATAATGGTTATTACATACTGAAACTTAATCGCACGAACACCTTTTCATATGTACAGGAAATTTCAGTTGCGATATAATTATTTTTACTTTAATAAATTATTTGATAATTTATTATAATGCATGATAAAGTTTAATTGCGAATTCTTTATGAAATGAAACGAATATTATTTTAAATGAAAATCGATTTTGAATGTAATATACTTTATTTTCCAATGCAAGCAAATATCTGTTTGATATGGCGAGTTGTTTTTTTTTTTGCTACATATATGAAATGAAATGCGTGTTTTTTTTGTCCGTTTTCGCTCCATTTATTTCATGAAATTACAAACATTGAGGGAGAGATTGAAATATTGAGAGAGATGATTCCAACTAATGCAAATGATGTTTATATGAAATTCCGCCGTAAGCGCCTCGAAATGGACTCTAGCATTGAAATTAAACAGGAATAAATAGAGTAGCCGCTGGAGCGTGTTCGCTTGTTTGATGCAATTCAAACTAAATTCGCACTGCACCAAAAATTGGCTTATTTTTATGTTGATTTTATTTTTCGATGTTGGCAATAAACGCTTGCGCTAGTAATTGTAATGGAAGTGGTTTGATCGACGTTGATAGATGGCGTAATTACATATTACGTATTGATCGTGCGGTGTCCTGCCTCCAAAAATCACAGAGAGAGAGATTCGCAATTTCCGGCGGTGGCCGACGTTCTGCGGTTTGCGCAAATTACCGCGAGTTAAATGACAACCTTCGACTGCCGTTGCAATCTGCCAGACGAACACATTTGCATGCACAAAGCTTTGACAACGATTCCCAAAAAAAAACCTCCGAATCGAATTGGTCCATGATCAAAGCCGACCATCTAAATGAAACCAAAACAAGTGCGATTGTTCGCATTTCGTTTCAAGCTTCAAACTTTTTTGTTGCTTTGTATGTTTGACAGACAGAAAATTAACTGATAAAACATGATATAGATATTGTTTTCAATGATGAAAAACTGGTTATATTTAATTAAAAACTTTTAAAAAGAAACATTAACAAGCAGTTAAAATTAAATTGAACTACAATTGACATTTAGACCAGGGACAAGCTGCAAAATATCTTAATAATTTTAATTTTGAAATCTTAAAAATATACATACAAAATCTTGTACAGTAAAACCTGTTTATAGCTAACTTGTTTATATATAGCATAAAAAAAGCGCACACAAAAAAAATCGAAATTTTCATTACAGAATTATTAGAGAAACATTTTTATGCGGTGGATAGAATAAAAAAAATCGCACTTAGAAAATACGTCAAAGATTTATGAAAGTCATGAGAAAGAAATAATTAAATGACACTTGGAAACATTTTAAAAACATTTACATACATAATTTACTGCTACTCGTGTTAATCCAAAACGCGCATCTTGTTATGATGAATTGGTTCAAAATCGACTAACAGAATCGTTTGAGCAGGCTGTAAATATGCACATTGATAGAAAACATTACAATCGCCAACGCCGTTGGAATTGCTTGGATTTCATATACTGCATAAAAAATGTATATTCTACTGAATTTACAAAACTGCTGGGTTGCAACCAGTTTTGGAAACACCGATCTAGACATATCGATTTTAAATTTCAAAATTATTCATTACTTTCATATATTTTTCTATCTTGATATCATATCTTTACATGATAACTTACAAATGGTTAATATTTTATAAAATGTTGGTGTTAATTTTTATTGAATTTCATTCTTCAATTTTTTATATTTACCAAATTTATTTGTCAAATTTTGACCAAAGCTTTTCTGCATGTGAAATTTAATTACAATTTTTATTTTTCTTAAAGTAAAAAAAAAACTTGAAAAATTAAACTTTTATTTACAAAACAGTTACAAACTTACAAATTCGTTTTCTTTTTTTTATATTATTTTGACAATGAAATTTTTTTAAATAATTTGAATATTCATATTATTTTTTTTTACATTTCACGCTTCATATATGCGACATTATTATTTTAGTTCAGGACAATTGTTATGAAAAAATATATATATTTACATGTATCACATGTACAAATAGTGATATATATATTTTTTTTTATTTTTATTTAAAATAACAAAACATGCAAGATTCTGCTTCAATGTAGTTATTTGATTACATAAATTGCATGCAGAGTTGTCGGGCGGAAACGCGAGAAAAATCATGCTGTTAATGTGAAGGAAAAGTCAAGCGAAAATAATACGAGACGATTGCGTTTTTTTGAAGAAGTTTATTACAGTCAGTAGGTATATTTTACGTTCATCGTCCTGGATCACGAGATCCGACGATTATCTGGGCGGACAGTCCTTGGGCTCAACGCATTTACCCGTCGAAAGATCTTTCAGATACCCGGACTTGCAAAAACAACCCCTCTTGCAGCGGGCCGTGCAGAACAGTGGCGCCCTGCCGGTGTCCTGACAGACGTCCTCGCATTCCTTGCCGCATACTAAATACTCCTCAAGTTCCCCACATTTCTCTGCAAATAGTACAAATTAATCTCAAAAATAAAATAGTAGTAAAACATTGATATTACCAGGTGTCGAATAAGAATTGGCGTGGGCGAAGAGCAGAGCTGTTAGCAGGATTGTTAAGGCCAAGAAGTTCATTGTCGTTTTGCGTGGTGAACGCCTTTGCAGGCTGGTATTTATGGAAAAAAGATGAGCGGTTGAAAATAGCGGTTGGAGATAACAATAAGTCGTTAGTGCGTTCCAATTAGATACTCTGCACGATGCATTTACATAACAATTAATTTTTTTTAATTACCGCAGTTGATAACACTTTCATGACAATAAACAAACCAACAAACGTAAATTGTAACCTATTGTATCTAAACCTTAACTCATTTTATTTTAAGCTATGTCGTAATTATATATGGTAGATGGTGTTAGCACATCATAAGTTTTCATTGGAAATTTGTGAAATAGGAAATATTTGTATATTTACAATTTATGTTTGTCATAAAAGAAGCGTTACCAATTTGCTCTTGAATCATTTAATTGAATTCTTAAATATTGTTCTTTTATGCGGTCCCTATCTACCGCACAAAGACAGGTTTTACTGTATTAGCAGAACTATATTTTTTCAATACCAATTGCAGAATACAATTATAATAACTTTAGTTGATAAATTTGTTAAATTTCATAATTCACATAAAATTGAAGAGTGCACTTTCATTACTTTTATAGACTGTAGGTTTTCACGCTTTTCTAATAATTGACTATAAAAACACGCGCAGTAATAGTAACCTAGTAAAAGTAGATAAAGTTCAAGTTTGTTATTATATGAAGGGAGATGCTGCTCTCTCTCACGCACTCTTTCCGCCCGATACATTAAAAATAGCTCCATATGTCCATATATTTACTTTGTGTTAATACATAACGTACATTATATAGGGTTTATGCATAAGTCCCCCTCCCCTCAATTACCCTCGAGACCCCATTTAAGCGATGGAAATCCAATGAGGATAACAAAAAAAAAAGAGAAGCATATAATTTGGGAAATTATGTTACTTGCCGTGCGGAGCTTAAGATATAAATTCAAACGAATGCGAGCGAACAAACGAACGAACGAAGGAAAATGCGAATAAATAAAAATAAATAAAATGAAAGAGCTTAAATGGAAAATGATAAGGGAGAAACAGAGTTTGAAAATTGTTAAACGCCGTTGCCGGGGTCGTTGCAGAAGATCAAGTGGTTTCCATGGAAACGGGACGGTGTATATATGTATTTGTGTATGTGCCCACTAATCGATTTAGTCTATTACGTGTATATAGGTATATATGGGAAAGGTCTGTTGAATTTTTCATTTACCCTGAATGTGTTTCATTTCTTAGCAAAATGTTAACGGGTAAAAATTGAGCGAAAAACGACGCAAAGTGTAGGTAATCGACAAAGATGACATTTAAATGTCAGACCTTGAGCTTATACGTTTTTTGTTTTCGGCCGGTATTTTCAAAGCCCACTGCGTAAATTCTGCGTAATGAAAGTTTTGAAACAAGTGAAGCGAGATTTTTACGACTTTTGCGAAATCTGTAGTCATTATTTTTTTTTAGCGTACATGGAGGAAAACTCATGCGTAATATTTGTATATATAAATGTGTAAGAGTCGAAATGAGATAATGTATACTTTATATCGTTAAGGAGACTATATACGGGAAGAGGAGCTTTGATACACCCACACGTGTCGAGTCTTAACGTCTACTTCTTTTTATTTTTCTTTCGGTGATAAATCCGCCCTAAAGGCTTTCCATAAATCGCAAGAAACGAGAGTAATTAAAAGGAGGAAAAATTACGTAAGGGGAAGAATGAAAAAAAAATGTGAAAAAATGTCTTTTAGCTGAAATCTGTTTGGAGGGTTTACAAAATAGCGAAAGAGAGATCGTAGTGCGTGAGATAAATTATGTGTGTTTGGAACGAGGGTGTAGCGACTTTTAATCTCGACGATTCATCGTCACGCAATGAATGCTTCGAGTTCGACCCGGACTTCTTGACTAATTGCCGCACCCGGTCCGAATTTAGCGCTCAATCAATTCCCAAATGGACTATTTTTCAAGTACACACCTCAATCGAAATGATTTGATTATATCTGCGTTTCTTATGTCAAGTAAATATATTTTTGGAGTATAACAAAAAATCATTATCATAAGAAAAAGTTGTTAAAACCTAAAATATTATTTATTGATCCTTATTATTTAACTGAAACCGAAAAGTAACACTTCTTTTATTACACCTAAAAATTGTTGTATACAATTTTTCATTATCTTTGAAAAACAGACAGAATTCATTTTTATAATAAATCGTTAATATATACTTTTATTTAGCTTTTATGACAAATAAACATTTTTCTTGTTGTAAAATATAATTAATTTTCATAATAATTATAATTATAGTTAGAATTAAACTAAATTATTGCTAAATTGTTCAAATGTTTTTTTTTTATAATATTGACTGTTCAACACTATACAATTAGCAAATAAAAACATATATAAATCCTAAATGGAATTAAAATGTTGACAATAGAAAATGGTAATGCTTCTTTTATGAAACTTTGAATTTAATCTTATTATGTATTCAAATCCAAATGTAAATATTTATTAGATCAACGCTATTCAGGAGAATTCAATTAAACTATTGCTATTGTACATTTCAGACTATTCGAGGAGCACTCCGAGTTGCTGATTCTTTTCGAGAAGTTTAGAGAGCTACGAACGAAGGAGGATCAAGCGAGTAGTTTGGAACTGGCCGAACATGCTGGAACAGTGATGACAACACTCGATGAAGGCATAAAGGGCCTAGACAATCTGGACGCCTTCTTCGAGTTCCTCCACCAAGTGGGAGCGTCTCACCGCAGAATACCCGGATTCAAAGTAGAATATTTCTGGGTCAGTATTTAAAATTGTGAATGAAGAAACCTGATTTGCAAATTTGATTCGATTAATAACGTCCGGTTGTTGAGAAGCAAAATATTTGTAATGGGACGAAAATAATCTATCAGGATGTCGAACGTAAATAGAAATTCCTGTAAAGGATATCGAATTTGCATATAAATCGAATCTAATCATTTTTTTAAGAAGAAAATTTGCTGTTTATATTTATGTTTTTTTCTTTTCTTTTGTTTCAGAAAATAGAGAGTCCGTTTTTGGAGGCGGTGGAGATGACGCTGGGCGATCGATACACGGACAACGTCCAAAATATTTATAAAATCACAATAAAGTTCATCATTGAGACTCTGGTGAATGGATACGAAAACGGGATTGCGACGTGAACGATTTCACGATTTACGACGACCAAACAGCAACAACAAAAAACACAATAACTCTCTCTACCCCCAGCAGCAAAAAAAAAATAAAAAAATGGATCGAATGTTGTTCTGAAACATATAATAATAATCAATGTACTCTCTGAAATCCTCATACAAAAACAACAACAAAAATAATATATATGTATCTGTAATATTGTATATGCATTAATAAAGTTAATTAATATTTATTTATATAAACTCTGTACATAATCAATGAAATTATACGAAGTGTACCTGTGTTAACAATATATTGAAAAAAAAATTGAATGCACCAAGAATAAAAAACAACAACACGAATTTCCCCCATAAAAAATAAATAATAACGTATGAGAAGAAAAAATAAAACCTTTTAACAGAAGCACGAATGGATGTAAAAATAGTGGACTTGTAAGAATATAATAATGTGTGTGTAATAATTTCGTTTCCTTCGAAAGTTTTTTTTCTTCTTTTTATTATTCTTATTATTCTCGACAGGTATTCCTCTCCCCTCCACAGAAAACATATGACTGTCAATTGAAATGTCAATTCCATGCGTATTTCATCTTATTTTTTTAATTATCTTATATGCACTTGAACATTAGCCGAAAAGAAAGAAAATAACAGAAAAAACAAATACTGGAGTAGTAGTTATGTGTTTAGATGAGCGAGCATGTTTAGAGGGTCGTATAACAAAACAATTGTTTATTTATTTTTATTTCTTTGCGCTGAATGTAATCGGAATCAAGTTCATTTATATTTTTTATTGGATTTTCAAAATTATTTTGAGGGGATTTCCCCATTTTATTATTTATAAATAATTGAAAAAAAAAAATATTTATATATATATAATATATGTGATGCGATGCGTTTGAGACGCATTGTCGTTGTTATTTGTGTACTTAATTGGAAAAAAAATATATGGACATATTTTCTGTCTAATTTGATTTTGGAAACTTTGTAGCACAACCAGTTTTCATCCATCCTAGAATCCCTTTTTTTGTAATTCAATTAATTTAAAATTAGTCCATATTTAATAATGAAGATGGTGCAAATCCTAACTGTCATAACTTACATATAAATACAGGCAACACCATGCACTAATTAAACAATAAATTATTAATAGTACAATAAATACAAAACACATACGACAACCATTAAATTTTTGTCATCTTTCACACGTTTTTTTTGACAAACATTATATCATTTCATGACTGTGGTAGTTTAAGAACGTTGAACCATTGTTTCTTCGAGTGCCCCAACAACTCAGCCATCAGTGCGGAATTAATTATTACTCTCGTAGCACTCAAATTCCCATTGCCTACCTCCATCCCTTTTTTGATGGCATCAGTGAATCGATCCAAAATTTTGATATAGCATTTTCTTGGTATATTTGGTTCCAAGACTTGTCCCCTACGCTGTCTATCTGGTTGCGGTCCTATCTACAAGTACACAATCATCCTTTCGGAGACTCCACCCAGTCCACTGGGCGGTAGCTGGCGAAATTGTGCTTGACACAAGCTAAGTGAAGGGAGTGGAGATATCGTGACTTATTGAATCTTATAGCAACTTTTCTGTATAGTACATATTTCAATATTTTATTTTCTTAACCTCAATACAGCCTTGTACATTTATATCATAAGGATAACTTCTATTAAAAAAATATAGATGTTGCAGAAATCGATGTTTTAACAAATATTCCAAAGACTTATGTTATGGATATAGGCAACCAAATGTGCATTTTGATAATAAAAAAAATTAATAATCAGATAAAAATTTCATAGAATACTCATAATTAACAAATTAAATATGTGTATTAAATTGCTAAAAGTTTATTCTAATATGATAAACAAATCTTAATAAATATTATACAAACAAATTCTTAAATAATATGTTTTAGTCATCGGAGTCTCAAGAATTCCGGCTCGAATTGTCTTTCATTTGTGTTAAAGAATCTAAATTTTATTTGAGGAAATGCTCACAGAAGTCCACGCCATCATTAAGCAGCTAAAAAACAAGAAAGCCCCCGGAGTTGACGGTATCTCCAACCTCATGCTAACTTCTCCCTCGGCGTTCGGTCATGCATGTTGTGGCCATCATAAATGCGATGCTTCGGCTCCGACACTTCCCAGAGGCTTGGAAGAAGGCCGACATCATACTTATTCCGAAAACCGCGAATGAGCGTCAATTTCCCCAGAACTACCGTCCCATTAGCCTGCTTCCGGGTATTGGGAAGGTTGCTGAAAAGGTGATCCTTCGAAGGCTCAAGGACTTTGAAGCTCAGCAACAGATCATACCCGATGAGCAGTTTGGCTTTAGGGACGGTCACTCTTCTTCTGACCAGTTGCTGCGTGTTGTGGAGCGCATCACGCAGGGCTTCAACTGGAAGATGCACACAGGCGGGGTTTTCCTTGATGTTGACAAGGTCTGGCACAAGGGTCTCTTACACAAAATGATCACCAGCAGTTTCCCTGATGGTCTAATTCAGCTAATTGAATCCTACCTTGACCATCGAACGTTCAGCGTCAAGCTGGGTGACGTACGTTCCTCGGTTCAACCCATTAGGTCAGGTGTGCCTGTCGCCATTTCTTTGGCCATCTTTATGGCTGACATGCCCAAAATTCAGGCCGGATCCTCCACCTCCGCAGCCTACTACGCCGATGATACTGCCATCCTGGTGAGGCATACTTCGACCGATGATGTCACGAGGTTGCTCCAAGAGGCCCTTGATCAAATTGAGGATT